AAGGACCGTTTACATCCACTTTTCTCTATAAGACTAGATGTAAACAATTCCTTAGTTTCCTTTTGTTCGAACGCCAAGAGACTCGCAAAACAACAAAAATCGTGACGGAATCACGCGTTATGTGAACAGGCCGTTTTCTTCCGTTTCATTTGTTATTTCACGTCGATTCTCTTTTAAAGTTTGTAATCGATGTTGTAAACTGAGGATAAGTTCTTCCTAAAAAACATAGATAAACACAATAAACTACTGAAATTAAATACTGAAAAAAATAAATTAAACACTTACTGCTTGAATATTACTTGAATCGATACTGTCACTAAATATTATTCGTTGTAAATAATCAGATGGATAAGACTGAATACTAATGCTGTCTAATCTATATTTATATCTGCAATTACATTTCAATTTTTATTCGTTTAAAGATTGATTTTTACCTTTCTCTTGTGTTGAATCTCGATCTTAATCGCCTCATTCGGTCTGGGATAGGAAATAAATTTCGTGTATAATCTGTGCTTAATCGATGATCAGTTGGTGATAGAGCTAAGTCAAAGTAATTGTTTATTATTTGGATGATGACTGGCATATGCTTTCAGATTTGTTTCAAATTCATACTGTTGAGCAGGACTGTTGAGCAGTTGAGCGTACTGATTGTTGTTGGGAGGATAAATCATTCCATGAACGTCTAAATATATAAACAAACAATATTCAAAAGTGAATTCTTACAGAAATCTCAAATTCTCCTATCTTTCTCTAATTACTTATCTTCTTGGTTTAATTTTTAATTTAAGCAGAAGTTACGAATTAATTTTCTTATAAACAAATGAAGTAAAAGAAATGAATGTATACGAAAAAATAAGCAAAAATGATTAGTCATCTCGACTATCTCAGAGTCAAATGGACTTTTCACTGTCTTCAAAAATACCAGATATCACATAGTTTTATTTGGTAGAGAAATAGTGCGATACAGAAGTTTGGACAATGTATACAGCCTAGGATGTGTCATACTAAAAAAAAGTAAAGGAGGACATAAGGGGGACTGTTTTTTCTACAAAGGGAAATGACACAAAACATATTATTTGGCGTGCGATGTCATTGTGAAAATCAAAGGCACGTGAGTATATTCTTTTATTCTGGTTTTTTCTAATATTACTATGTCAGAACATATAATTTAAGGCAAATATCTTTTGTTACACTAAAAACAATAAATGATCAATTTAAACATGATTTTTTACTTCTATGTACATATTTTTCACTTCCACGAATACTCTTAAGAAGTTCTTTGTTATTTAAAATCAAAGAATGAAAATTAGTACACGCTAAGTTTGTATTCATTCTAATTCTCAATTCTGCGTTCAGTGCGTTTTCTTATGTGAAAGTCTCCAAGGGGGAAACAGCTGATTTTTCGATTTAAACGGTTTAAATCTAAAATCGGTAAAAATCATTGAACGTTCGTGAAAATCGAAAAATCAGTTGCTTCCCTGTTGGAGATTTCACATAAGAAAAATTACTAACCGCTCAAGTCTGTTGAACTAGAAGCGTAATACAAAAGTGAAAAGTCCATTGAAGACGGTCAAAAGAAAATATCCTTGAAAAGGGGGACATCCTGGGAGACAGATTTTTGCGGGGGAAAATCCTAAAATGTGAGACTGTCCTCCTTATGGGGGGAGATCTGGCAATCCTGTACAGGGAATATATAATCTTAAGACAGTCGGTATTCAACAGACAATATAAACCCACAATAAAGGTGTCAGTAACCAAATGGATAGCGGGTACCATAATCGATATGAATGTGAACGATTAGATACAGGGCGACACAGTGAATGTAGTCTTTCATGGATATTCTAGAAAATTTTGGGAGTCTTTCTAAGAAAGTAAATAATCAAACAGAATATTTTCATTACTAGGTACTTTAAGTGTCTAACTTATCATTTTTAGTAAATTATTGTAAGGTGAAAGCTTTGCAAAGATCAAGTGAATTTTATTTTTCAATGTGTTGTAATAAAATATGAAGACACCCACAGACACTTACAGACAGCCACAAACATCCAAACACTCCATGGATGTCTCTGTAGCTGTCTGTAAGTGTCTGTAGATGTCTGCGGGTGTCTTCATGTTTTACTATTACCCGTTGTTTCTTTCTAACAAGGAATTACAATGTTAACGTGTATGATAACAGCATAGACTAATAACAAAACCTTTTATCAATATATCGTTGTTTATGGCTAAAAAGTCGAATTTTGAAAAAATTTTACGACTATCTTCAATTGTTTTTTCCTATTAGAAATAGCAAATTCTTATATTGACGTGAATATTGCATAAAAAATATAAAATATAACCAGACTTTCCACAAGTTCTTTAGAACAAAAGGTCTGACTAAATATAGATTTATTTAAAACAATTAAATTGCAATACAAAAATACATCGTGTAATAAAATTTCTGTAAATCTTTCTAGAATATTTTTTATTGTCTATTAGAATGACATATGTTTTGTAAAATCATAGCTCATTATCTTTTGATATAGTTTCTAATTTTTGTTCGATATTTTGACATAATTTCCACAATTCTTTAATATCATTCGTCTGTTTTGAAAATTGACAATTTGTTTGTTTACATGAATTCCAATAAGTACCTGTTAATTCTGGTTTTACTATGTTCATATTTGTTGCCAAGAATACAGGTGTTTGTGCACCTTGTTCAGCTGATTCATATCCTTTTGACATTCCTAATGATTGAAGTAAATTTGATGTAACAACACCGGGATGACATGCATAAACACTAATACCATCTTGTTTATATTCTTGAGCAGCTGCATACGATAACATTCTATCAGCTTGTTTTGATTGTTGATAAGCAACAGTGGAATTATATTGACGCTTATCAAACTGAATATCGGTAACATCTAAAATAGTGAACAAAAACATGTTATATAGGGTAAAAAAGAGGAGTTCTAAACTGAAGAATGATAAAGGCAAAAGTTAGTTATTTACCATTAAAATGAGAAGAATAGTCGAATTTAAGGAAGTTACACATAATTATATATTAACACTAGAACGCCCGTAGCGATTATTTGGACCGTTTTGTGACTTGTTATCATTAATAAAACAAACTACATAAAATTTATTTAAAAATAAATTATATTATAACTTTTAATTTGTCCCAGAAAAATTATTTTTTGCAGAATTTTTAATTCATTTTTGAATTTAGAACCATTTTTAAGTATAAAATTTTTAAAAAAAACAGTAATGGTTAAAATGACCGCCGCTTTAGGCGTTCTAGGTCATGAAAATTTCCGGGCGTCCTAGTGTTAAAAAACATTCAAAAATTACTGATCTACAGAACTGATCTTCTAGAGTGCGATATTCAATACCAAATCATCTAGAAATATATTTTAATTATTGAACAAGAGGAACATATTTTAGACTTCAAATCACACAGATGATGAAAGTTGAATTATTGGAGCTGTACAAACGGTAATTCATTTTTTAAGATAGTTTTGATCTTTCTATATCCAACTACTGAAGACAAAATCGGATACTGTCTGTGTTTTACTCATTAAATCAGACATTTTTACGAGACTAAGTGTAAATCTGTGTAAAAAAATAGGTAAATACGTTTAATTTTTGATGAACACCCTTGCTACTGTAATCAGATAAAAAGCGAAGACTCTCGGTTATCCTTTTGAAAATCTTGAGAAATAAAAATGCTAGAGAGTTCAGAATGTTCCGTCCGTATTCAAAAGAAGAAACTTTAGACTATCGTTTGATAAGAGACATTAATTAAAAATATTTTAAGAGTTTAAAACAATTCAGATTCACATAAATTATGTCACGACTCGATCTAGTTCCTTAATGAACTGCATATTATATCCTAGAGACCAAATCTTATATAGGATTTCTATAGCAATCTTATGGGATATCTGCAAGAATCTTATGAATTTCTTAAT